TATGATGCTTTCAGTGTCCTGGGGTCATGTAATCGCCTTGTGTGACCTTTTGATAAAATATAAAAATTTTAATCAAGTCCCCCCCCCCCCCCCGCGCAATGGTGTCCCTCTTTACCAATCTAAAAATCTGGTCACCTTAGACTATGCTAATGGTACTGGACCAAACTGAAATCAAAATTTGCTAGATTAAGTAATCTATTAATGTGGTTCATAGATATTCATCAGAAAAAAGTTTCCTTGACCTTAAAAAATGCTACCCTGTGACTATGGAGATTTCTGAGTAGATGTTACATATAGTTTCATAGTGATCAAAGAAAATTTCAGGAGAAAATGATTAGGGAGGCTTAGTAGAAGAGATATTCTGAATTTCTATAATACACATGCACAACCATCTCCATCTGGAGAAAAACACTTAGAGAAAGTAGCAGGACTTATAATAGAGCACCTGAAGCTTGCCAAAGATAGATTTAACAAGGTAAACTTATCTTCAACTGCACACAGGTATAGGCTGCCCTAATCAGATTAGAGGTTCTTCATTCTCAGGAGAACTTGCGAATTATTCTATATGTGGGGATATACAGATCTATCTTATTTATTTCCCTAGTAAAGGCTAAACCATTTTCCAGACTGCATAGAGCTAATATTTATGAATAGTATTATCTAGACATATTCTTTATCAACTTTTTCTTTTCATTATTTATTCATCAGTGGACAGTATTAAGAGTGTGTTACTGAATGACTCTTAATGTTTCCCTTGATATTAAAGTACGTACTTATGTCTGGATTCAAAATAATTAGAAATGAGAGGTGTTTAGAGCGCTTTAGATTTTCCCTGGATGCTATCACTTGAGAGTCTATTCTTTGGATGCTATATTTGTATCTATATAGCATACCCAAAAGTCACTTTAAGTAGCAGATCACTTTGGCCACTCTGTGACTCTCTTTATTCTATCATAACTGAAATCACTTTATTTAAAATTAGGAGGAGCTTATTAAATACATGATGAATTATATTAATTTAATCAATTAGATTTAACAATAACTAATTAAATTAAATTAAATGGAATTAGAGTGTTGTCCTGGCTTTCCCCCATACTTTTAGAAATGTAGCCCCTGTGTTAACATTTTATTTCTTTTATGGGGTGCTTTTCTCTTTCTTGCCACTATTAATTTTATTGATTAATTAACATATAGGAAAATATTCCCTGGCAAATTGTGATTGGCTGTGATTTTCTGAGATAGAACCTCTCAAGAGGTTTTACATTTATTGCAAATGGTTTGCTAGCAAGCAACAAATGAATCAGCTACATAAAATGTGCACCAGCCATTTACTGGCTTTCTGCATGTAGTAGTTGTCATGGGAATATGAATCATACTGAATTGTCCTTGTCTCATCTTAGCATATCAGGCTGCTTATAAATATTTATCTTACAAAAGCCATAATCTCTTAGTCAGAAAAGCTTTCAGAACATACAACAGACCTGGCAGAGTTCAAAAAATAAATAAAAAAATGCAGTAAATAAAACCTTTTGGAAAAAAGCAGAAGCACCATAACAATACTTTGTATTTCCATTATTAGTACATGGTTTTCAGGAGGTTTTTTGCTGAAGGAAGACACTGACTAGGTAACATTTTTGCAGGGATCTCTGAGAATTGACTTCGCTCCTGAGAATGACTCCTGTAATAATGACAACTTGACAGTCTTTTCAGAAACATGCTAGAGGTTTATGCTACAAGTACTAGACTAGGATTATAATATTATTTGGGCATTGATATTTTTGTTATCAATAACTGATATAGATGCATTAGCTCTCACTTATTTTGTATGATTCTTTTAGCTTGAAGCTTATCTGTTTTGAATTAATTGAAGTTTTGTTAAATTATTTGCATATGGTTGCTTTGTGCTTTTTATCTTTTTATTTTCCTTTATTTCTTGCTTATTTCTAGCAGTCAAGAGTGGAGAATCTTTGGCTTTCTGGATGGTATTGCACTATAATTCCCAGGATAGCCAGAAGTGAGGGATGCTGGGAATTTTTGTTCAGGAACAACTGAAGGGTCACAAGTTTCCCCTCCCTGGGTGCAATTAACTTTGGTGGAAAAAGCCTCACTTCTGGGTGATTAAATGCACTTCTAGAGCTGATTAAATGAAATGCTCATAACTATGCTAAGCATTCTAGCAGAAGGATTCATACAAAATAGCATCCATTGACATTGATATACTCTAGGCCAGGGGTAGTCAACCTTTTTATACCTACCGCCCACTTCTGTATCTCTGTTAGTAGCAAAATTTTCTCTTTCTTTTCTTTTCTCCCTCCCTTCCTTCTCTACTTCCTTCCTTCCTCGTCTCCGTCCC